GGTGAGATCAGGGCCAGAGAGATGAAGAAAAGATCCTGTTTGTTATGGTACTGCTCCCGTATTCGCCTGGTATTGATCGGATAAACAGCGGAGAACTATCGATCAGAGCAGCTGGTCTCTAGAATTATCCTCCAGCGACTGTGTTCGACCTACCTGATTTGCTAGCGCCGAAAATCCCTCCACCGACCGGACCTGAACCTAGGACCTCCCGGCTAAATGTAATCAACGAGACGTGATCGACGATAAGTGATCGACAATAGGTGATCGAGGACAAGTGATAGACAACAGGTAATCGACAAGAAGTGACCGACGAGAGGGGATAAATGAGAGGATCGACGAGACGTAATCGACAAGAAGTCATTGACGAGTCGTGTTCAACAACAGGTAAATGACGAGCTGTAATTGGCGAGTTGTCATTGACGAGATTAAACGACGAGTAATTATTGTGAACAATCGTAGAAAATTTAAAAGGCTTTGAATGCTTAAAGTGGAATAAAATATATAAATGGTGTTATTTTATCGGATGATTGAAAACAGTATGTTATTGGTAGTTCTACTTTCTTAATTTCATAGTTGATTACATTAATGTGAACAAGTTTAAAAAATTAATTTGAATCCTAATTTTAGTGAATTATTTGTTTCCTTACTTTCGATCAACGTGAATTCCTCATTTAAAACAGTATTTATTAAAAATTTGCATTGGTATTTCAATTATATCTTAATAGATATCAAAGTCACACCGTGAGTACAGATTGTGGTTAAATAGATCTGACATAAAGATTTAAATATTCCCATCAGTTATTTTTTTATATTAAGAGCAAGGGGATGTAATTTAATGAGCCAATTTAATACAACATTTAAATCGGAAAAACGTTTTATTTGTCATTTGGACCTGAAAGTAGAACAATTCTAAACACAAGTCTAAAGGGCGCAGCACTACCGTAAAATATAATGATTAACTAGAAGTAAAAAATATAACAATCTTTAATAATAACTCTGTTCATCAATAACATAACGAGCTCACTACGAACGATGAATTGTAAATATGTTTCATCTTCTCAACTGTACATATTGACCTTCTATAATTAACAGTAAATCACTAGAGCATGTAAACATCAAATATCATTTCAAAGCCTCCCAGTGGAAAATTTGGGCTCCGTTTGGTCGACACATTTAGTTAAATAAGTAAACTGAAATTAATATGTACATGAATTTCCTGATTGAACAAGTTGCATGCACTTAAATCAATGAATATGCTTTGTAAAAGTGAATAGTAACATTTGAAGACAACCAAAAACTAGTTACTGAAAATGATATTAGAATGTTGAATAATTTCTTCCTGAATTTTAATACATTGCTAGTTAGCTTTCAATTTAGGGGGTGAAGAAGATATAATATTTTCTCAAGTTGCAACGGATATTTCCGTTTCTAGTGGGCAAGTCGTTTATCTTAGTTGACGCTTATAATTGCATCTTGCTGTGAAATTGAAAACTGAAGGTGGATTCTGAAAAGCGAGAGAGCGCTTTCCAGACTTGTTCTGCTGTGCTAATAACAATGATTAACTATAATAAATCATGTAAGATGCTTTTAAAGTTTTTATTGAAGCAGTAGAATGATACGCAGTTGCCGGATAATTCAATGAAAGGAACTTGGAGATGATACGAGAATACAAGCATCTCTGTCTTAAAACAAGAAATATTACTATCAAAAACTTTATGGAATTAAAATTGAATTAATTTGATAATATCTTTACAATAAAGATACAGATTTAGGATAGGAAGAATATAAGAGACAAATAAATGTTTAAGTCTTCTTGTAATTCATTCTTCAGAGCATTAGTTCTTTAGTTCTTGTAGTGCTTTCTATTAGACTTCAAATAATATATATATATATATATATATATATATATATATATATATATATATATTGAAATGACTCTGATTATATTTTCATCCTTAAAAATGGTGTATATATAGTAGGAAAATTCAATCAGTATGGTACATGTGGCTTCCCCCTGGCGGAGGAAAACGTAGGCATCCCGCATAGCACTTCTGCAGTGCACTTTATTAGAAAGCCGTGCTTTGGAAATGTGGCCTCTTTTAGTTCCGTGATGTATAACAATTAATTTAAGGTGTTTCTGTTGTATTAGTTTAATGTCTGGAACATACAACAATGTGTCTGCCAAGGCAGAGAATAATTATTAATTTAGAGTTGACTATCGGGTCTCGTGCTCCCGACCGCCAGTCTCTCATTTTGCTGCATTTTTCCTTATACTGTTTTGAGTTCACAAATAATGAAGAAAAAATGATAGTACACTATAGTGTTAAACAACATTGAAAAGTATTCTAACAATTAAAATATTAGAGTAATATCAGTAACGATGAGTTTCAACCGGATTTTTTGTCTCCTTAGAATAGAGAGACATTCTGTTCACATTATTGAAGAAGAGATCAAAAATGACTTTATTATTAATATAATTATAACATATTTGAATATGATTAAAATATACGTCAAAATGTTCGTACGTCAATACGTCAAAAGTAATTATTTTATTCTACATTTACACTGCTCTCTAAAAAAATCAGTCATAATATTTTACACAATTACCGTCCATAATCAAATCGTGTTCCCAAAGAGAGGTTATTATTTTTCAGAAATAAAATTTTTCACCTCATAAATCAAGCAATATTAATTTCTTAGGGTGATATTGTACATCTTCTTTAACATTTTCTGCATTCAATCATATTAGAGAATATCGCATATCATTATCTTCAACGGTTAAGGATTTATTTAAGGAGAGATCTTAAGGTGAGCCACATTATATTAAAATGAACTTATTTCACACTGTTTCACAATAACATAAAAGTAAAGCAATTTTACACTGGAGAAACAAGAGGAATTGGTAAACTTTTAGAAAAGTACCTGAAATTAAGTTTCAGAAAAATGACGCACTGTATTTTATTAGGCAATTTTGTATCTTGAATGGCAGTAATTATAATAATATTAATGATAAAAACACTGTTTTACAATTTTTCAACATCAGAAAAATTGCTTTCAAATAGTACAACAGTACTTTTGAACAGCAGAGAAAAAAATAGTGGGTACGCTCTTATAATACGATACATCAAGGCTGTGATCATATTTGTGATACTGAAAGTCGAAACTCGAGTTGTTTTTTTTTGACAGTGACATCGTTTGCAAGCGGAACGATCATCAAGAACAAGAAACGTCGTGTTACTTTATCAACAATTCGATAAAGAAGACGTGAAAATATTTTAGAGCAAACAAGTCCATGTAATTAGAAAAATATAGAATTTTCCGGTATAATGGTGTAATAATTTAATTTTATCTCAAAAATTTAATAATCCCATTAATTTTCGCAAAAAAAGGTGTACTTTAAGTGGAGGGAGAAATGGCTTACGTTTTAAAAAGCTTTAACACGTTTTGTTATTACTAGTGCTAAAATAAATGACCTTAAAGTATATAATGTTTAATAAGATTTCCGGAATATTTTAAAATAAAATAATATTTTTGTACATAGTATAAAATGCCCATGTCATCTAGCTTTCCTTGCTAAACCGCTCTAGCTTTTTGCAACACATCCACTGGCCTACACGTCTCTCATTCTTCTATTCCCTCTGCTCTCGCAGGATCTCCTCCTCAAAATGACGGACCCAGCGCCATCCCTTCGTAGGGCAAAGCATGGCGCTCGTTCTTACCCTCCCTCGCCGAAGCCAAGGACTGGTGCTGCTGCGGTGGCGGCGGTAGGGTTCGCCCTGGCTGTCCCCAGACTTGGGCGCCCCTCTCCCCACCCTTTGACCTTTGTTGGACGCGCCGGCGACGCTGCCGTGCCGTCGAGGTCATATAGAGCTTACTAACCACCATGCCGACCCAATGCGGTATTAAGCAAACACTGCTTACAATGGAGAGAACAAGGGCCGGGTGTCTTTGTGTTCAATACGCTGGGGAATGTTGCGAAGTTGTTTCACCATGAGTATTCAATAGACTATAGAAATATAGCGAACGCCGCTCTAGGTATAGATTATAAACATATTTGCATCTGATAGAGACTACTTACGTTTACAATATAGTATATGGTTCAATAAATATTAATTACGGGATACTTAAAATACTCATGTTCGAAAACGTTTATGTGACATTGAAATAAATATTTTTGATTAAAGTTTTCACTAAGAAAAAAGCTTCAATAATTTAGTTGTACGAGAGAAGTTTTCGTTGAGAAAAAAATACAATAATTTTGTTGTACAAGAGTATTAAAAAATGTCAATCTTTACCACTTTCAAAAATTCTGTAGTTTTTGTAGATTTTAAACACGTCTAAGTAACTTTGCTATATTAGAAAAAAACATTGAAGTGATTTTTGAAATAAAAAAGTCTTAAAAACATCTTGAAAAATTTTCCCAAAAATTAAAAGATACTTTTCAAATTCAAAAGACTAGAAGTTCAGCCAGATCAAGATGAGAATACACAACTTGAATAAAATCTTGTGTGCAATGTATGCGCTGACAGGCGGGATGACGCATGTTTTGAAAAATAAAATGTTTTCGCTATTAGAGAGCGCCGAATATTTCTTTGCTTTTCTTTGAAACTCTCGACATTGAGGTTTTGCCTACATATATGTACTTCCTAGATACTACGGAATGAATTAAAAAAAGTGATGTTACCTATTATGAACATTTCTAACCTATTATGAACATAGTAATACCTCCAAGAATATTGCAGATTTTAGAGACTATACCGACTCTGGCTGGGAAAGCTTTCAGCTAAATTAAAAATGAATATAGAAAATGCGATCGATTTATAAAGTCAAAAATTGCCATATGACATCACAGAGTCCGGCACAAAATTAATATTTAATAATCAGTCGATAATTAAAATCAGTTAAAAATTCCATTTTTCTACATGCCACGTTAAAAATCACCACGTGGAAATTTTAAACCATGTTATTTGCACTCTTGTTATTTACACAAGAGTACAAAATCACGTGAGTATGCATGGACGCTGCGACCTCTCGGAGGTGGAAGTCTGGAAATATTTTATTTATTATAATCTAAAAAAAGGAGCTCACGAAATGCGAACACCTCGCGAGACACAAGAAAGCAATTTCGTGCGCCGAGAGCATCGACGCCATTGGGCGCGAATAATGCAATCAGCACGACGGCAGCGCCGCGGCGGCAGTCACGGGAATTACGATCTGTACGCGCCTTGTTACGGCGCGCTTCCAATTGAAGCCTCCGCCCACGCCCCCCTTCCCAGCGACTCTCGGCGTCGAACATTCTCCCTCCCCCTACCCGGCACACTTTCCATCCCCTCACAAGGCGCCCCTCACGAATCCAGCCTTACTCTAGCCCCTTGCCTCCTCCTGCCTCCACCTCCGTTACCAGACACCGCTACTAATATGCTTCCTCTTCGTTTAAGTCAACATCCCAGCTACCCTCTCTGTACCACCTCCCCTTTACCCTCCCACCTGGTCCACTACCATCCGCTCCACTGCCAACCCTGTCACTTTTCCCGCTTCCTCGGCACAACCCTTACTACACCTTCACGTTACTCCAATGCAATCATCCTCACCACTACTCGCGCTACCACCCCGCTGCCGCTCCCACTCTCCCAGACACCATCTTTGCTGTCATCCCTCATCTTGTATTCACTCCCGCTGATAACAGGCTGCCATCTTCCTAACCGTTCACGCTACCACCCTCTCCACCACCTCCCGCTCGTCCTGCTGCCGTCTCCTCTATCACACTCTCTACTACCTACCCTTCACGCTGAAACCAGCCCTGCTACCATTTAAGCTTCTACCAGCCCCAGTTTATCCGGCACCACCCCCGATACACCACCATGTTATTTTTCTGCAATCAATCCTACTACGCTTTCCACCACCCAAGTGATATTCTGACTATGCCAGACTCTACTATGGCTGCCACTCATGTGGCCTTCAACGCCACCACCCTATTACCTCCCTTTTATCCTGCCACCGGTCCCGCTATCACCCGCTAAGTGTTTGGTTACCATTCTAGATACACCTTTACGCTCTATTATCCCCAGTACTAGTCGCTCTATTTCTTTTCTGCCATTCCCTCTCTCTCTCACACAGCACCATCGCTGATTTCCAGGTGAAAATTCAAAAAATTAATATTTATATTTAACAGCCAGTCCAAAATATCAATTGTTCAAAAATTATATTTCTCTACATGTGACAATAAAATTTATTCCGCAGAAAATATATCTGCAAGAGTACACATGCATGTGAATACGCGTGGAAGATGCAATGTTGCTTCTGAGAGAGACAAAAGATGCGACAAGGTGAGGCGATCATGTCAGCACCTCTTAAACATCTTAACTCGTGCGTATTCGTAATCTCCTAAGCATCTTCACTCACGTAATCTCTTAAACGCCTAAGGAACTACACTTTTGAGTATTCTTTAACTTCTATGCATCTCGCAATTCTTCGTTAACTCCTTAGCATCTTCACTCTCATCGTCAATTGGTGAATATGAAGAGTCATTAAGATTATTCAAATGAATTCATGTGTGTTGTTAGACATACTACTTTAAGCAAAAATATTGGATACTGGTATTTTTCCACTCAGAATGGAATTATTGTGATTTCACTGCATTATATTCTTATAACTTTTGTTCAACCGTTATGAAATAATTACAGATAGGGCCTGTGTTATAGTTGTTTGAACCTCATTTTGACATTCAATCACCCAGAAAAAAATCCGTGAGTTAATTGAAGAATGTCAAGGGAAAAATATCTCAAATATACTATGAGCATGATATTAACAGACTAATTTGAGAGAGGATTGTGCTTATGACAAATATTGAGGCGTCAGTTACAGCTTCGTCTTCATAAAGTTAAGACGAGTAAACATGGAGGAAGTAAGACGAATTCAATTGTAAAATGTGAAAACATTATATTAATTAATCGTGACACTAAGATGCAAAACTGTGGTGGTCTCAAAATGCAATAATTGCTTAGATGCTTAATCGCCTAGATTCTGACTTCACTCTAGTCATGAAAATATTCATCAATTATTGATCTCTCGATCAATTATTCATCAGCTCGATTGATTTACTAGCGATTCCGGGCATGTCAAGTTATAATGTCATTAATCTTGTAAGTGTAGAATTTTTTTATCGCACAAGGTGGAGACGATTTTTTTGTGCAGGATGCAGGTGAGATCCGACGTCGACCTATTACCCATCGGACTGCGGGGTTTTCTCCGACTAGGTATCGCCCACCAGCGGGGCACCACCCCACTATGTACAAGCTCTAATCCTCCGATTGCTCTTCCAGCATGTGGTAGTGCCGTGCATGACAGTGTAAGAGGATGTAAGATAGGGTGAAGATAGGAGAAGGAAGAGGAAGAAAAGATAGCGCACTTTCCTTCCTTTCCGTTTGTTACGATACTGCTACGCTATTTACCTGGTGACAATGAGAGACACTTTAGAAAACTATCGATCAGAGCAGCTGGCCTCTAGAATTATCCTCCTGACAGTAGCTGTGCAGCCAGTGGTGGAAGTCCTACACCCGTGGTGACACGAACCCGAGGATCTCCCGGTCAGAGATACTGCAGTGATATAACTTCATCACCTGAGTCTCTAAAGCCGGTTATGTCACCAGTTCGCAGTAGAGTGTTTTACAAGCGGTATGTAATCAGCAAATCGACTTTGTCAAGCGATATTCCCAGTTTTGGAGGACAATGATAGTGACAATTTAAAATATCTTCTGAATGTTTAAAGCTCATTGTTTCACTTTCTAAATCTGACAAAGAAGAAAAGGTATATTCAGGATTTATACGACCAAAAATGCATGACAATTTCATACTGACAGTTATTCATGATTCATTGTAAATTGTCCATAATTCCTTATAATTACAACTGAATTATTATTCTCCGAAAAAATAAATTTCCCTTAATTTTGTGTTGTCTATCCTAGAAACAAAGATAATGAGAACAGAAAAATAAGAAATAAAAAGAAATTTAAGTTTCTGCATTCGGCTCTGTCTTCCACCCACAGAGTTTTATAATGTGCTTTTCCTTCCCGTCTCCACACCGCCCCTTAAGTTCTTATTCTCTCAATAAATGAATTTCATTCCAACCCTTCTTTCTTAACTGCTCGTCCCAATCACATTTAGCCGTCTCCTATCCTCCTCCTCCTCCCTCATCCCGCCCGCTTCCTCGCACGCCGCGCCACCCCCACGCCGTTGTCGCAAGCGACAGTGGCGCGGAGTAGCGGCGCCGTAGGCAAATCACGTTACGCCACCTGAGAAACACTGATTGCCTGATTCGTGCGCGCCATTGCAGCAGCCCTCGCCTAATCAGGCGAATCGCGTTACGACGCGGCGCTCGTTGCTGTTGCCGTTTTGGGAAATGGTCGCCCGAGACACTCAACGCCCGGACGCCGGCGGAGAAACGGGACACAGGGAAGAGTGGAAGAACAAATGAAGAAGAGAAAAGATAAGGCGAAAAGTGAACAGAAGATAATGAATTAGAGAAATAGGAAGAAAAAAGAAGGAAATGGGAAAACAAAAGAGAGGAAAGAAGAAAAAACAATCATATACGAGCAAAGAGAGGAAAAAGAAGAAATAGAAGAAGATAAAATAAATTTTTGTTGGAATAGAAAAAAAAATATTGAAAATTGCCTGTTTTATCAAGGTATTTTCTCTTCTTTTCTCAGGTATTGTGAAAAAATAATTATTTCCATTACGTAGGCTAAACTGTTTAGATTTTCAAATTAATCTTCGTGGACTGAGAAGTTCTAGTTTAAAAATCCTATGGAGATGGAAATAAACACATGCTATAAAGTAGTATGTTGTTATCTGAACTATGTCAAAGCTTAGATGAGATTCAAGACCAATAATTTCCTATGTATGCCACAAATACGACCCCGTACGTAACAAATAGGTCACGTTCTCAAATAAAATATTAATGTAGTTTATAAAATATCAAATCTTTTTCAAAAAGTACTCCCTTGATGCTTAATGTAGTGTACACCTAAAAAATTAAATATCGGCTTGAAACTCTCACAGTCTCGAGTGCGTTTAAAAATCGATCGGCAACTACCAATTTGTGAGAAACTCGGAGGAATGACTTAAGCGCTAGCGTTTACCACAAACGCATAGACCCAGACGTTTTGCCGTCAATCAAAGTTTTAGAATCTATGACCTTCAAAACATGAAATCTGGTGCACTAATCTTTAGAGAAGTTTTTTCTATATTTCGCAACTGAATTTATAGACTTTTCGTTTACAGGGTACGACATTAAGAGTTTTTGCCGAAAATTTGCCGTTTTCCAACGCGCGTTTATTATTATTATTATTATTATTATTATTATTATTATTATTATTATTATTATTATTATTATTATTGACTGATTATACACGACTGTAAATGTGTTTCTATAACGTTCCATGCACCAGATAGCAAAGACAAATCTCTACTATGATCTTCTGCTGAACAAGGGGAAGCATTGAAAGCCATAATCATCCTCCCAGCTCGAATCATTTATGGTCCTTTTCGTAATTTGAAAAGTTCTTACTCCATTTGCTATTTGCAAAACTTGTTTATGACATGCTTCATAAATAAGTAATTTTTAATTTCAAAATATTGTAATGAAAGAATATTTCAAGTGATTATTGTATTTCAACTTTCTAAAAGATGTTTCTTTAATCGTACCGAGTGGACAATTTCCAACAGAAAGCTCATTTATATGCCATGGGCATAAATTATTTGACTGTCGCTTCGACCATGAACAGAATTTACTTAAAAGCATTGAAAACTCTCTCAATGCAAGACACGGTTTCACACTTCTTCATTCAACATTCCTTCCAGAGAAAAAAATATTCTTTTCAATCTCGAAGCAGACAGAAGATTTCTAAACACTGCACAGACTCGACAAACTTCCAATGAACAAGAAAGTACGTTAAGGTCTCGTCCTCAAGCTCCGAATTCTTTTCTGTTGGCGCTCTCTCTCTCCTTTTCCACTTCTTGCTCTCTCTCCCTCCCCCCTCTCTCTCTC